TCCAAACTTGTCAAGGAATACAGACACTGTTACAAATTCTTCTGACTTACTTTAATATCAACAAACTAGACAAAACAAGTCCATTGGCCATCAGTGTAATAGTCTTATAACAGATTTTCATTCATCTTTAATAGACCAAATATACATTCATGTGAAGAATTATTATGTATTTATGATCATCACTACTTTAATTCTTTACAAATTTCTTGACTCAACTAGCTAAGGTGCTACTTTGCATTAACTAAAGAGAATCAATCTAACATTTGTGACATCAAACAGAAATGGTGTAATGATAGGTAGAAGCCAAGAGATAAATGAGGAATATTGCAGTAGAAGAATATATTCAAGATAAACAAAGGGAAAATTTATCATGATAATGATGGCATGTGAGACTGTTAAATCCAGATAGCAAAGGTTGTATGTCACTGTAATGTGGACACCAGCAACCACTGTCTACTGGACATATAAAGTACAGAGAGTATACAAACCTGGATGTACATTGCCCTGTTTAACTTTCATGCTAAGTGTTGTGAGGAAGAACCTAACATGATGAAGAAATTGAAAGTGAAAAGTCAAGTAAACCATCCAAGGCCATGACTATAAACGACAGAGTCAGAATCTGGCCTCTTAACATCTGCGTACTCCAAAGTGTGTTCTTGGAACCATATTAGATTGCTAAGACATTTGGATTTCAGCCTACAAATAATGGAAACCAAATGAAGAATCATAGACACATATTGTTCTGTTCTTACAACATTCTGTGAATTAAATAATGGAAAGTATGATTGCTGTTTTATGGCTAGAGAAACCAAGAAAGGTTACTTCCTTAAGGCAAAGGAAACAATTGGATGCCTAGAACCCAAACAACTTCATACCAAGACTCATGCTGATTTTAGGGGGTTGGCAAAAAGTACTTTCTGAAATTTGGAGTATTTTTACTGCTTACATAGCTTCAAATTCAGGAATTTCAAGAGCATATCCCAGTCAAACACTCTTCCCAGCAGAACTTTGCTATTTCTAGTGAATTAGTTCCTCATTTGTGATGTCAGTCTGAGAAATGCAAAACATCTAGTGTGAGCAAGAAAGACAGCAGCCATCAGTTTCTGTGCAGTAACCACTCCCACAAACCCCAATATAATGTTAATAATTGAAAAATGGTACTATTAAGAATTCTCTTTGGTGTAGTAATAGCATTCCTTGTGTGGACTTAAATTGCTATTAAGAATTTAAACAACATTTAAATTTATACCCACATGTTATTGATGTCTAATGGAGTATACATACCTTGTTTTAAATATTTTTTGTAACTAAAATGTAATAATGATTATATTATTCAGGCCAAAACTAATAATTAGAAGAGGACTGCTTATTTATGACAGTAATTTAACATTACTCACCCTAGAATACAAAAAAATAATATTTCTTTGCAACAAAGCAAAGCAGATGCTCAGAGTCATACTTATTCCTTATTCTCAGGTCACATTTATTCCTCAGATATGTCACAAAACATTCCTTATGCTTTACAAAATTTAAAAAAAAAAAAAGCAGTTTCCTCTGAAAAAGATAGAACACACACGTGCATATCCACACCCTGCTCCCTCACACACATGTGTGTTTTAGGAGGAATCTAAGACTTAGATAAAATGTTTTGATCTGTTGTTAAGGTCTAAGACAGTAAAGACTCTCAGACAATGGAAAAAGAAATAAAGGAAAACAGAGGTGATACAAAGAATCTTAATGTATATCTAGAGGAATGGAGTTTATTTAAAAAACAAGTATAAAATGTATATATAACAAGAAATAGAATAATATATGAAAAAATAGATAATGGGGAGAATATATGCAAATATGACAAACAGAAATGTAGGAACAGAAGATGTGCTTGCTAGTCATGTGTCAAATTGACACACAAGCTAGAGTTAGCTGAAAGGAGGGAACTTTGAGAAAATGCCTCCATAAGGTCTGGCTGTAGAGCATTTTCTTAATTAGTGATTGATGGAGGAGGGCTCAGCCCATTGTGGGTGGTCCCATCCCCAGGCAGGTGGTTCTGGGTTCTATAAGAAAGCAGGCTAAGCAAAACAAGGGAAGCAAGCTAGCAGGCAGCGCCCCTCCAGGTCCTCTGCATCAGCTCCTGCCTCCAGGATCCTGCCATTTGAGTTCCTGTCCTGACTTCCTTCAGTGATGAATAGTGTTGTGGAATAAAACCTTTCATTTCCAAGTTGTTCTTTGGTCATGGTGTTTTATCATAGCAATAGAAACCCAAGTAAGATAGAAGATAACCTCAAATGGCAAAGCTCATCAAATGAACTATAGCTTTTGCATACAGGTATGAAGCAAAGATGCTTTCTAACATCAGGAAGAAAGGAAGGCTGTCCTTCTCACTACTACTATTCATCCTTGTTCTAGAAGTTCTAGTTAAAGCAGTAAGACAAGAAAAGAAAATGAAAATAGAAATTGGAGATAAAACTGACATTATTCTAGATGACATAATCATGCTTGTGAAAATATCCCAAAGAAACAAAAAAACATCTTGGAATTAAAAAGCAAGTATATCTAAGTCACACATTTGGCCACTTGGTAAAGGAGAGGCAATCACAAGGTTTGACTAAGGGTGGGTGTGAAAGATTAAAGAAGGAAATGGGTAGGGGGAGAAGGGAAGGAGGGAGAAGACTAGAGGGGAGGCAGAAAATGAATAATGGGACAACAATGTCCCTTGTAGACAAGCTAACAAATAAAAAGCCTGTTCTAGAATTTTAAGGTGTGTTACTTTTGTTTATATTGCATTTGTTTAACTATGATACTGTGCCTTCAAAAACACCTGATGGTCTAACAAAGAACTGAATGGCTAATAGCAAGGCAGGAGAAAGAATAGGTGGGTCTGGCAGTCAGAGAGAATATATAGAATGAGAAATCTGGGGGGAAAGATCAAAGAAGTAGACAGAGAAGGAGGAGGACTCCAGAAGCTAGGCACCCAGCCACACAGAAGGGAGCCGGGGGAAGGGATCAATGTAAATCAATTTAGTAAGTTGGACGTGTAGTAATGGAAGTAAAACCTGTAATAATTATGTTATAAACTAGACACATATGGTGGTATTCTATTTGTACTGAAATGTGGTTTTAATCGTATGTTAATAAATAAAGTTGCCCAGGGGTCAGAGCTATTAGAGCCATAGAAAGAGCATGGTGGTGGTGGCGCACGCCTTTAATCTCATAGATCTCTGTGTGTTCAGGGATACAGCCAGCATTGGAGACATATGCCTTTAAGACCTAGAGGGCTGTACTTACAGGCAGTGATGAGGCAGTCATGTGTTTGGGTTTACAACCAATGAGAAGGCAGAACAGAAAGACTATTTAAAGACATACACACAGGAAATAGCTCTCTTTCGGGAAGCTAGGAGCACACAGGCAGAAGGGTAAGATTTTTAGTTCTGAGCTCTGACCTCTTGGCTTTCTCTTTTACATTGGTTCTGTGTTTCTTATTTAATAAGACGGTTGGTTACATCTACAGACACATGTTAATAACACTACTTCTCCTAGGAGAACATTCAGTTATCATTACAAATAATAAAACAGTTTTAAAAATGAATGACAGTTGTGGGAGCTAGGATACTTATTATTAAAGTAGGAGGTAATGCCCAGAGGAGACTGTACTATCTATGTGCTGATAGATTAGAGCTGGAAAATATTACTATGAACTTACATTCAGTATTCTGTAGGCACATGATACATAAATAAAATGTATTCCTACATGTATATACACATGTATTTTCTTCTATCAGCTGAAAGGGCCTTGAAACAATGGCATTACCATTTCAACAGCATTTGTATAGTATCTAGAGGGTTTTCTGTTTGTTTATCCTATGTCAAATAAAAAGAACCAGGACTCCTTAGAGATATGGCTTATTTTATAACTGAGGTGGGAAACATGTGAGATGAGCCTGAGGAACCTTGTTGTCCCAGAATGCAAAAGAGGAAGAAGACAAGAAGCAGAAGCATGAAGCAGGAGCAGCCATCAAGATGTCTGCAATGGCCTGATGATAGAGGGTATACTAAAGGAATAAAAATGTCAAGTGAAAATACTAATGGATAAATGGAAACATTTGGACAACAAAATAAATGAGACAGTGTTAGGTTATAAGCAAATTGTAAAAGCAACACTCCACAAGTAATTGACCAAATAAATACCTAAGTATATGGTATACAGACTGTAAGGAGTAAGAGAGGCACACAACCAACACTCCCTTCCAGACAGTCATAGATAGTAAGGAGTAGGAGAGAAACACAACCAACATGACCTTACAAAAGGGACTCAGATCATCAACAAATTATGCTGACAATCGTGTTGATAGAACATAGCTTTGACACGATGCCATTACAGTGACATGATGCCATATGGTTTTCCTCACAAATACCCATAATTCTGTGCTAATTGTGATTCTTGTTTGATTTTTGGTGTTTGTTTTTCTTTTTCCCCCTTTTATTGAAAATAGTTTTGTTTGTTTGTTTTGCCTCACATAATATATCTAATTATGGCCCCCCTGCCCCACTCCTCTCAGCTCCTTCCCCCTTCCCTCCCCTATCCCACCTTGCTCCACCTCCATTCTGTCTCTCATTAGAAAATAAACAGGCATCTAAGGTGTAATAATAAAATAAGTATAAAAAGATAAAACAAAAACTAACACATCAGAATAGGAAAAAACAAAGAAAAGAGCCAAAAAAAAAAAAAAAAAAAAAAAAAAAAAAACTGATGCAAAAAAAAAAAAAAAAAAAAAAAAAAAAAAAAAGGTACAAGAAACAGATACAAATACAGAGACCCACTCATTCAGACACTCAGGAATTGCCTAAAAACACTAAACTGGAAGTCATAATATATATGCAAAGGACTTGTGGGGGCAAAAAGAGAGGAAAAAATGAATACATATAAATAAAATAAAAATAACAAATAAGATAAAATAAAATAAAAAGTAAACGCTCTGATTTGACATTTTGAGACAACAAACCTCCCCCAAGATGCCATGGTGCTCCTTTTCTGTTGGATATCTACTGCTGGGCACACAGCCTTCCCTTAAGCGTGGTTTGCTTCCTCTGTGAGACTCGCCTGGAGAAAACGAAATTTTCATTTACAAGTGGTTATCAACTGGGGATTGCTTCTGCATTAAGGATGAGGACAGGCTTCCATATCTAGGATCTGTCTGGAGCAGACCCATGCAGGCACTGTGTATGCTGTCTCTGTATCTGTGAGTTTCTGTGTGTCCATCTTGATGACTTAAAGGGCCTTGTTTTCTAGGTGTCCTCCACCCCTGGAGCTCTTACACTCCTTCTGCTTCTGGGTTCACAGGGAGGATAAAGCAATGAGTATCATGGTCTTCCTTTCAATCAATCAAATTCCAACTGAGGGACATTCTGTGAAATATTTAGGAGTGCTCTTTAAGTCTGTTAAGATCATCCAAAACAAGGAAGGTCTGAGAAAGCATCAGGAGCACAGAGAAGACAAATGACAGTGAACTAGAATGTGGTCTTTTGGATAGTGTACAGCACAGAAAAGATATTAAGTGGCACTGTATCAGTCACATCCAGGCTATAGCTGACAATGTACTGCACTGGCTCACTATATCTAACAAACATACTACACAAACATAAAGTGTCAATATAGAATCAGCATGGGATAAGGGGCATGAGGAAAAAATATTAAAGGAATTTTCTATGCTACCTTTGTAATTGTTCTCTAAATCTAAAATTTAAAAAATAACAATAGCAAAATAAAAACAAAAATTTAAAGCTTATTTTTTATTATACATGTAACATTGCTAGTTCTAAAATATAAAGTCTTACAAGCTGCAAAATGAAAACTCACAACTAAAACTAGGAATAGGCAAAGACTATGTAAACAGGACGTTCACAAGAAATAAAATCCAAATGACCATAAAATTAACAAGTCAACAAACCAAAAGAAAACATTGGCCTTATGTGATAAAGGGAAAGAAAAATTAAAATATGGTACTGTTTTTTAAATATCAGTTTGTCCTATAATTAAAAGAATGAAAAATATCCAGTGTTTATAAGGATGAAGAATTGCTGGAAGACACATTAAGTTTGACATTTTGCAATGGACGGGGCAACATCTATCACAATAAAAAGTATATACACTTTGACCTAGCATTTGTACTTCAGTACTATTCCACTGCAATAAATCACCACAATGTATTATGCAACATCATAATGTTGCAAAACAATAGTTTTAATGTTAAAAAATTAGAAATCCCTCAGTAGGACAATGCTTAAGTAAATCTACATACTATAAATTATAGACTATCATGCAGCTGTTGGAGTGTGAGATTTGTTTGTTAACCTAGAAAGATGCCATGAGGTTACTCTAAAAGGAAAAAGGAAATCGGAGAGTAATATATAACCTGTGATAATATCTTTTAAATTTTCTGTATATGCCTCTATGCTTAAATATTTTTAGAATCTTATGCTATTATGATCTATTAACTTCAGTTACCATACAGTAGGATGTAGTCTTACATATAACCTCTTGATAATCCTTACATATGTATATACTAAAATAAAATGAAACCTCAAGAATAATTTTCATGATTTTGCAGGGGTGGGTGCTCAGAAATAATGAATTCTGGAGCTTCAACAACTGACCTGCAATGATTCTCATCTAGAAGAGTTTCTACAACACATCCAAGTCAGAAGGTGCTCTCCCTGGAACCACAATAACCTATTTCCTTTAACAAGAGAAAAAGCAGCAAGTGGCTTATTATAATCCGTGACCTACATGAAAGAAATGACCCCAATAAGGCTGCGTGTGGTAAGATTGTCAATTTCCTAGAAACTTGGATGAGCGCTCATGGCCTGTAATAATTCAGAGCACTTTAGAAATTAAAATGAGGTTCTGTATGCAAGAACCAAATCATGGGGCTAGAGGAACAGCTTAATGGTGAGCACTTGCAGCTCCTCCAACAGAGCTTGAGCTCAGTTCCCAGCATTCACATCAGGAGGCTCACAACTATCAATAACTGCAGTGGCCACACCAGGCTGGGACACAGGTAGGTCCAGTCTCATCTCCAGCCCTGTGAGCACCCTGAGCACAGGGGCCTGTCTGTCCCTCAGTCCTACCTCTACTCTAGGAGAAATCTGCCAAACCTTGAAATGGACCCAGCTTTCCTCCTGTCAGCCTTCACGGTGCCCCCTTTAGACCATATCCCTTCCTTCATATCAGCCCCTGATACCTAGAAACACTTTCTACCTCGGCTGCCCAGTGGCCACACTGGGTAGGTGAATCACACTATCCTTCTTGTGCTCAGCCCAGTAACAGCCCGATTACAGATGCCTCTCTTCCCTCTTTGACTTCATTCATTAGAGACTCCAACTCTTCATTCAGACCCAGGGTCTCCCTAGGTCATTCATTTTTGTCTCTCCAGATAATTCTTTGTCTTATCGTAACTTATTTATAGGATCCCCTCTTCCCACCACACCTCCAACTCCCTGTAATTCCCACTCCTGAGTGTGAACAGGATCCCAGTAGCTCTTTTCTAAAGCCCCTCTTGCCATTCTAGCCCACTCTATTCCTCTCTGCCACCTACTGACAGTCACTGCCTACCAGGAAACCAGCACACTTTCTCAAGACTCAGAGAAAGCAACCAAATCCAAGAACAGAACACCCACCCAACAAAGACAAGACCAATATCAACACTTTGAATCAGCACAATCATCACAACCCTAGAACATAAACACCAGTGCAAAAACAAACATTAACAGACAAGGCAATGTCTCCACCAGAACTCTGCAAATACAATGCAGCTGAAGCACAAGACAAAGATGTCAAAACAGCTATTATGAATATGTTTAAAGACCTTAAAGAAGACATGAATAAATCCCTCAGCGAAGTCTGTGAAACACAAACAGTGGGATAAAGTAATGAAAACAATCTATGATATGAAAGTAGAATTTAACAAAGATATAGGATCCCTAAAGAAAACCCAAACTGAGCTAAAGCTGGAAATGAAAAACTTAGGAAGTCAAACAAAAACCCTCAGAGGTGAGCCTCACCAACAGAATACAAGACATGGGAAGAGAAAATCCTAGGTGTTGAAGATGAAATAGAAGAAATGGATGTCTCAGTCAAGGAAAGTGTTAAATCTAAAAAATCAGATACAAAACATCCAGGAAATCTGGGACACTATGAAAAAATCAAATAAAAAAATAATAGAAAAAGAGGAAGGAGAAGAAACGAAGGCCAAAGGCACAGAAAATATTGAACAAAATCAAAGAAGAAAATTTCCCCACCCTGAAGAAGGAGATGCCTATCAAGGTACAAGAAGCATACAAAAGACTAAATAAAGAGGATCAGAAAATAAATTCCACACAACTCATAATAATTAACATTAAAATACAGAACAAAAAAAAGAATATTAAAAGCTGAAAGGGAAAAAGAACATACAAAAGCAGACCTATTAGAATAACATCTGACTTCTCAAGCTCTAAGAGACTACAGATGCCAACTCAGACTACTAAACCCAGAAAACCTGTCAGTCAGAATAGATGAAGAAAGAAAAACATTCCATGATAAAAATTAAATTTAAGCAGCATAAATCCACAAACCCAGCTCTACAGAAGGTGACAGAAGGAAAACGTCAGTCTGAAGAGGTTAACCATACCAGTAAAACACAAGGAATAAATGTTAACACCAGACCAACAGATCAAAAGGGTGGAGGGAGCCCACATCACAACAGAACAACAGAAATCAAGATACTGTTCATTGATAACTCAATGTTAATGGCCTCAAGTCTCCTCTCCAAAAAGAAAAAAAAAAAGACACAAACTAAGAAGATTGGATTAGTAAACACAATCCATCTTTCTGCTGCATCCAAGAAACATACCTTATTTCCAAGACAGACATACCCATCCTCAGGGTTAAAGGATAAAAGAAAAAAATATCCCAAACAAATGGACCCAAGAAGCAAGCATGAATAGCCACTTTAATACCTGACAAACTAGACTTCAAACCAAACTAAGCAGAAGAAATGGGAAGGACACAAAATACTCAAATGGAAAATCCACTAAGAGGATATTGCAATTTTAAACATTTATGCACCAAACACAAAGGCAACCAAGTTTGTAAAAGAAACACAACTACAGCTAAAATCACATATTAATCCCCACATAATGATATTGAGTGATTTCAATACTCCATTCTAACCAACAGACAGGTCATCAAGACAAAAAAATAAGCAGAAAAAATGCTAGAGTTGCATAACATCATAAATCTAACAGACCTAGCAGGTATGCACAGAACATTTCACCAGAACACAAAAGAATACACCTTCTTCTCAGTAATTCAGGAAACTTTGTTCAAAATTGAACACATACTCAGGATACAAGGCAAATCCCAACAACCACAAGAAAACTGAAATAACACCCTGCATCCTATTTGACCCACTATTAATTAATTATTAACTATTATTACTATAGATCACCAACATCAGAAACAACAGGAAGTTTACAAACTCATAGAGACTGAACAACTCATTACTGAATTGTGGTGATATATTGTGTACCATAATAAACTTATCTGGGGACCAGAGGACAGAGCCAGTCACTGGATTAGACACAAAGGCCAGACAGTGGTGGCACACACCCTTAATCCTATCACTTGGGAGGTTGAGATGGATCTGGATCTCTGTGAGTTCAAGGCCACACTGGCAAGAGAGTCAGGCAGTGGTGGCATACATCTTTAATGCCAGTGCTTGAGATCTTTTGCCTTTGCTTGAAAAGCACACACACCTTTAATCCCAGGAATTTACATGACTGGGTGGAGAATGATATAAAAGACGTGAGGAGACAGGAACTGAGCAGCAGTTTAACTAAGACCCTATTGGATGAGGATTCAGAGGCTTTCAGTCTGAGGAAACAATATTGGCTGAGAAGTTGGTGAGGTGAGGTTGACTGTGGCTTGCTCTGCTTCTCTGATCTTTCAGCTTTCACCCCAATATCTGGCTCTGAGTTTTTTATTAATAAAACCATTTAGTGATTTGTGTTACACTGAATGAAAATTATGTCAAGACAGAAATTAAGAAAGAAATTTTTTTT